AGGAGTGACCGATTCATCACAGGCGAGAGGTGGCACCTCCCCTTCCCTGCCGTGTTTCTGCTCTAAAATCAGATCGTAGAGGGCCAGTTCCCAGCAGACATGGTGCTGGCTCTGGCCCATCTCCAGCTGAAACTCTGCCCTGCCCTACATGTGCCTGGCCGAGCAGCCTTCCCTGTGGGCAGTGCTCCAGGGCTGCGGGGCTCTGCCGGGGCTGCTGGAGGAGCAGCCCCGTTTGCTGGCAGCAGCTGGAAGCGGTGGGTGCAGGGAGGCAGGGCACAGAGCTGGCTGCTGAGGAGTGCCAGCACAGCCTCACTCTCACCAGTGGGGCTGCTCCACGCTGCAGGGCCTGCAGGGCACCATCCAAGCTCAGCACAGGGAGGGAGGGCAGGCAGGGTTGTCGTGGGGTCCCTTCGGTGTGCCCATGGTGTCCTCTTGCCACGTCAGCTTCTCCTGGGGTACTGTTCAAATGCCACCCTGGGACCAGCCCAAGTGTGACCAGTGCCTTCCTCCACATGCCAACAAAGCTGTCAGCGCAGAGCAGACTCAACCCAATACACACGCTGTTACAAATATTAATATTCTGGCTAAAATTCTTCCTCTTTTGGCCAGGTTTGGATTTTTGGACCCATCTGGAACATTCTGGGTACCGTCTCTGCAGACTGATGGATCTTCTCCACCCTGCCACCAGCCCAGCACTGTGGACTGGCAGCTCAAATTTTTTTCAGACCTTTTGTTCTGAAGTTGCAGTCCCCTTTTGTTGCAGGCTATGGAAAAAGGATCTGCCTATGCCCCCAAAACAGCAGGGATGTGCATGTGTCCCATGGAAGGAGCCATACACAGCAGGCTACAAGCAGGGTCCCGCTGGCTCCTAGAAACAAGGCTGCGGGGTCCTCCCTGACAAACCTCTCTGTGTAGGAGCTCAGCCCCTGACATCTGCCACCATGGCTCCCCTTTCACCTCCCCTGGGGGCTGCTGAATTCTCTCCCTCATCGGGACACCCAGCCCAGAAACCGAGAGTGCCAAAGGTGGGGGCACTGACCAGAGGGACCCCACAGTCACCTCCCTTGCTGGCTTCAGGCCTCGGGAGCTGCAGCATCCCACAGTGATTTCTCCCAATCAGTTTCCACCCAAATGCAACCCTCCTGCACGAAGTC